CCCAATGCGCGTGCACGGTTGTGGCATGCTTTAAACGCCATATAAGTGTGTACTCATTACACACCTCACCACCATTTTTCTGTTTAGACAGGCCGTGCAGCCCAGAAAGTGATTTACTAATCTAAAAGAGTTCACATGGCAGGTCTCACACACACACACACACACACACACACACACACACACACACACAAACACACACACACACAGGATTACATACATTCCGGTGCATGTAGTGGCATTAGCGCGACCCCAGCTTTGTTTCCACTGGGCTCCTTAAAGAAGTGGAAAACATAAGCTGACTTTAATTAAAAGTTGCAAGAAGAAAAACCAGTTTAAGTCCTGAATGTGTCAGCACGCAGAAGGAAACGGCGTCGCCAGAGGACCCCCGACTCCTTACCTACCATGTGAGGCAGCAGACCCCCCCACTCCCTGAGGATTTGTGCAGAAACAGGATTTTCTAGACGGTGCCAGAGAGCCTCTGTGCTGACAAGCAACACCTGACCTGGAAAGAACCAGCAAAGGATCGTAACGGCTGACGAAGCTGCTCTGTCCTTTATGATTAGGTCAGAAAGGAGGACGTTTTATTTCATTCACAAACATGTAAAACAATAAAGATGAAATCTCCTCCAGACTGAGTCACCGTAGCTCCTTCTCCTGTCTGTTTGACCACATTTCCTCTTTTAATCAGCGTTTCTCTCACTCGCTGGTTCCATTTGAAACGTTTCTTACAGAGAACAAGTCGCCTCCGCGGCCGTTTGGGGGTGAACCACTCGGATTCTCTGAACAGGGGCGACCGGGTGGATGCTGTCACCCCGACGCTGGGCAGCAGCAACAACCAGCTCAACTCCTTCCTTCATATCTACGTCCCTGATTCTTCTGTCAGAGCGCGCTCAGACCTGCAGTTTATTAAGGTGAGAACGCATCCTTGTCTGGAGGTTGATTTCAGACACTTTCAGTGGATGTAAAAGCTATTTCTCCAAACAGAGGCCATTCAGAAACGCTGCTTAGGAATACTCACAACTTGTACTATCATTCAAACAGATCCTCTTAACCTGCTGCAGCGTGCAGCTTTACATCAAACCACTTAAAAATCAATCGATGTCTCTAAAACAGCCCGAGGGTCACCACTGAGACGGTGTCATCAGCAGCAGTTTGAGACAAAGTTTAATGAACCAATACAGAGCTGCGTCCAGCGTCGCCATGGCAACCCGGGCGCTTAACCAGCAGCCTCTCTTGTTTCTGTTTCAGAATCTTTCAGCTGAAACGTTTCAGGGAGGCAAATCAGCTAAATGATGTCATAAAAATCAGGATTATTTTGGAATATTTAACCCTTTAATGGAGGGAACGATCTGATTCTAACACCCGTGACCTGAGCCGCTTCGCTCTGTTTCCTAGGTAACGCGCCAACAGTACCAGAACGCCGTGATGGCGTCACGGATGGACAAGACTCCCCAGTCGACAGACAGTGAATTCACAAAGATCGAACTCACGCTGACGGAGCTCCATGACAGAGTGGAGGCCCCGCCCCTCCTCACCACCATGACCAGCACCACAAGCCCCTCCCCCGCAGTGGCCATCTCCATAGCTAACGAGACATCCCACCTGATCAGCCAGCAGCAGAACTGTGTGGGTCTGAGCAGGAGCAACCACAGCACCCACAACGAGGGACCCATCTAGCCCCGCCCCCTGCTGAGCTGGTGGAGCCTAACACCTTCCACCATGTCCGGTGGACGCAGGCGGAGCGCTGGCGTAGATGGAGATGAGGGAACATGGGGCTTCTGCAAGCCCCTCCCCCTGGTCAGTCAGTCAGACCCCATTAGCAGGGCGTGGCGGGTGCTCCGCCCCCACCTGAACGCTGTCACACCTGCTGCACCAAACACCCTCCTGTAGGGAGAGGGAGTCCCGGATGGAACCTGTCACCGGGCGTTTGTTTGGGACGATCTAACGCAGGACGGCGGAGCGCAGGAGGACACAAGCCAACGCGCGCGTTGTTGCTCCTCAGGACCAAAGACTTTGGTCCCCCTGCTTCACCTCCCCTCCCTCCCCTCCCATCACACACACACACACACACACACTGACTCCCCCCTTCCCTCCTGTCCAGTGCATCCTGGGAGGCTCAGGCGGTCCTGGTTAGTCAGAGACGGCACCAAAAACCGCCCAACCAAGATGTTTTCCTGTATTTATTTATTTTATAATATTGTACGTATAAATAAACATATATACATATATAAGTACACATATATATTTATATATACCTATACAAACATATATGTGTACGCGTGGAGCCACTCGAGCGAGCTCGGGTGCCGGGACCAAGGCAAGCACGCTGCACATGTGAGGTTGGTGTGCATGAGGAGCTGAGGGTCTTCTGCAGAAGCTGTAAATTACAGATCTTATTATTATTTTTACTATTATTCTAAATCTTTTTCACCTTAAAGAAGAAAAAATCTCACTATTGCCTTTAAGAGAAATCCTGTAATTAGTTATTTTAACAAAGTGCAATGATTTATTTAAGCGTGATTATGACGGAGTTAATTCACTGTAATATAAAGCTGACCGATATATGTTTATGTTGTGCTGTTTGTATATTTGTTTATGAAAGGCTTAACTACAGCATCCACCCGTGGGACTGCTCTTAGCGTGACTTTGTCATGTTTCATTTTTATTATTCTGCCTCCTCAGACACCAGTTAGCGAGGTGCCTTCAGTAGTTCAGGTCAAAGTGCCATCCGGTTGTCTATGCACGTGAGGTCACGAGTCCTTTTGTGTTTGGCCAATCAGACGTCGATGACGACAGTGTTTACTGACTCGGGTCCAACCAGAGAGCAGGAAGGAGGCGCGGCTTCGTTCTGGCTCGCGACAGATGATTCGTCTCATGGCCGACTCGCAATCAGAGTCGTGAAGATATTTCACACATGCTGGCTGCTATTAAAGAGAAATATTTATGCTGTTCTGCGTTGATCTTAGAAGCTTGTTACGTTTTTGTGAACGTGTGAAGGACCGCTGAGGAGAACATTCAGCTTTTGTTACGTGGCGCTCACACACAACCCCTACACAGTCTATTTTTACACAGATGAGTCAATATTTTCCAAAATATTAATCTCTTCTTTTTTAATAGTTGTTGCCCTTTATTTCTATTATTATTATTATTATTATTATTATTATTAATAAACTCACAACAGAAAAACGGCTTAAGATGCTGCACGAGCCACAGTGCTGCGAAAAAAGCATTTATCTCTTACAAATGTGTCAGATCAGAGAACAAACATAAAAAACCTGACGTGTTGCCATTCAAAGTATCCGAGTACTTAAATACAGAGTAGTAACTGTGATTAAAGTGATTATTAATAAAGTTGTGTTTGTTTTCACCTGCCAACTCACGACCTGGGTACTATCAGACCTGCAGGACTAAAAAATGTTCTTCGGCTTGAAGCAGCCTGACAACATCAGGTAGACGTCGTGTCCCGGAGACGTTCACGAAGAGAAGAACCCAGAACTACATCTAAGACCTGCAGGTCTCACTCGTGTCAGGTCATAACTAGGAGGTGGACAATCCAGTCTTCTACACAGGGCAGTGTGCTGGTGAGGTCATCCAGATCAAGGCAACTGGACTTGTTTGGTTTCTTGAAGACGTTCCGCGTCTCGTCCAAGGATTTGTTAACTCTGACAGGCTTGACTCCCATATCCTCGGACGCGTCGCAAAACGTCTTCAAGAAACCAAACAAGTTCCAGTTGCCTCATCTAAATTACATAGAGCAGTATGTCGGAGGTTTTCGTCATGGGCAATGACATCACAAACCCTAAAGCCCGGTTTTCAATGAAGAATCTGCAGATCTCCACTTTAGTCGGAGGTTTTGAAGGAGTCGTTATTAGCGTACGTTCTCTTCGGCGTGGATGAGGACCGAATCGTAGGAAAACATCGTTGTTTTGTGGGACACCCGGCTACGTATGGACGAGGCCTTCACATCAGAAAAACATCCCAGGCACGGTGGTGGTTGTGTGATGGTCGAGGGCTGCTCAGCTGGAGAACGTCTGACCTTTGACCTTAAACCAGGTGTTCTTGCTGAAAACCCACAGTGAGGCTGAGGTTCTCCACAGTTATGTCAGAGACCGTTATCTGAACCAGGTCTAACTTTAAGGTCACTTATGGGCCGGTGAGGTTTGGACTGATGTTTGCGTTCGGGTTTTCTTTGGTACCAACGTTAGTTTGCTGATGTGAAACATTTAAGAGTGAAGGCTGTAAATACTGTTACACAGCCCTGTAACAGGAGCAGAACTTCCGGGTTTGGCCCCACCCCCTTTGTTTGTTAACACAAATCTCCTGAAGCTGGAACTTTACCGTCGTTGCGTGATGTAGCCACTAGGAGGCGCTGTTTCCTCGTGCACGTTTGTGTGCAGCTGCACACGCGGCCTCCTGCAGCGTCCCTGTTGCATAACCAGAGTTCATCTGCATTGGTTGCAGCTGCTCCTTGTTTTTTTTTATCTTCGTTTATTTTTGGGTGGTTTACTTGAAAGTGCTCCTATGCAGCAGCCGTGCTCGCTCTGCTCTGCAGGAACAATCAGCAACAAAACAGTAAGCTGGAGACGTTTGGAACGACAAGAATCCTGTGGATCTCAGTGCCTGATGATGGGGAACCGATGTGGGGAACAGGAAGCACAGCAGTTAAAAGGATAAATGCACAACAGAAAACAGGTGTGGTGGGGATGTTTTAGTAAGCCCCTCCTCTTCCTGGCTGCACACACTCCATCCTTCCACTGAATGCTTTGAAGGTGTGTATTTACTACCTGTGTGTGTTCTTCTACCTGAACACAATCCCATCGCCTCCTCCAGCTGGCGGTTTAATAAAAACAGTGAATGATTAACAGATAAATCAGGTGGTGGCTCTGTGCTTTTAACATTTGGCTCTTGAGTTGTTTTAGAAGGTTTTAGTGGACTTAACATGTCTCCTCCAAGATTTCAAATGCTGATATTTAATGTGGAGTGTACGGTGTCTCTTTTGGGTCATTCTCAGTCCAAAGGAAAAGAAGCACAGGACTAGAGCTTCAACACCATTTTACTGATGACAAAAATGACGCAGGCATGAAAAATCCAGATTAAGGAACAAAATCTTTCAAGACGAGGGCCGAAATCCTCAAGTTATTAAGTCCATAAAGCCTGAGAATTTGGTTTTATAATCATTTTCCTCAAAATCGGTCCAAACTGGACATCGTTCGATTAAAAACACAAAAAATCCCCACATCAAATACCCGCTGAAGACAAAAATCATATACGAGACCTGATCTCTCCAAATGGCCCACGGGCCACACTTTGGACATACCGGGTCCAGAGGGTAAGAATTCTGTGGAATCGCCCTTTAGCCAAATGCTAAATCAGACGCTAACGTCAGGACTTCTTTCCATGACACCTGAGAATATCCTAAAAAGGAGACCGTGCGTGTATGGTTTACACCCAGGAAACAGAAAAACATTCACACGTTCTTTAATTTGGGTTCAAAGAAATATACAATAACAGATTTTCATAATGAGGTGAGTTTTTCGAGAAAAGTCATGAAAATGAAATCTGTGGTCGAGCGTAACTTTCACACCTACTTTATTTTCAACAAAACATCCCAGTTCATTCCAGACAAAAGCATCTGCTTTAGTTTACAGAATAACTGACGCTGGACATAAAATACGTATTTTTTATTAAATCATCTTATTCAGGGCTGCACAGTGGTGCAGTGGTTAGAGCTGTTGCCTTGCAGCAAGAAGGTTCTGGGTTCAAATCCCAGCCTGGGGTCAACATGTTCTCCCTGTGCATGTGTGGGTTCTCCAGCTTCCTCCCACAGTCGACTGGTCTCTAAATTACGTGTGTGTGTGTGAGGACATGGGTAGATGGATAATCTGATTCATAATTTCTCTTTAGATTCATCTGCCAAACAACTTTAAGCGGTAAAATATTTAAATAAAAGCAGCTCCTTCCAACATTTACAGATGGAAGTCTAGAGAGCATCATTAGCTTACAAAGGAAAATAGGTGGAAATTTTAATTTTGCTTCATCAATTAAACTTCTCATAATTTGATCACCGCCTCTAAATGTCTGATATAAATCAGTTTTATGTCAACCTCCTTATTTAAATTTTCATTATGAGATTGTGCTTCAGCTCTGTTGAGTCAGCAGATAAAGCGCCGAGTCAGGAAACGCCTCAGTAAGAATGCACACACACACACACACAAAACGCATGTTTACTTCCTATAAACAACCAAATGTTTTCTAAAAACTAAACTTTTGCACATTGCATCCATCCATCCGCTTATCCGGAGTCTGGTCGCGGGGGCAGTAGCCTAAACCGAGACGCCCAGACTTCCCTCTCCTCAGCCACTGGGGCCAGCTCCTCCGGGGAAATCCCAAGGCGTTCCCTGGCCAGGTGAGAGACATAGTCCCTCCAGCGTGTCCTGGGTCTACCTTTAGGTCTCCTCCCGGTTGGACGTGCCTGGAAAACCTCACCAGGGAGGCATCCTGACCAGATGCCCAAGCCACCTCAACTGGCTCCTCCCGATGTGGAGGAGCAGCGGGTCTACTCCGAGCCCCTCCCGAATGACCGAGCTTCTCACCCTATCTCTAAGGGAGAGCCCAGACACCGTGTGGAGAAAACTAATTTCAGCCTCTTGTATCCGCGATCTCGTTCTTTCTGTCACTACCCAAAGCTCGTAATAAGTGAGGGTAGGAACGTAGATCGAACTGTAAATCGAGGCAGGACCTCATCCCTGACCTGGAGAAGGCATTCTACCCTTTTCTGAATCAAGACCATGGTCTCAGATTTAGAGGAGCTGATTCTCATCCCGCTGCTTCACACTCGGCTGCGAACCGCTCCAGCGAAAGCTGAAGATCACGTTCTGATGAAGCCAACAGGACCACATCATCTGCAAAAAGCAGAGACCTGATCCTCAGGCCACCAAAACGGATGCCCTCCACACCTTGGCTGCACCCAGAAATCCTGTCCATAAAGGTTATGAACAGAATCGGTGACAAAGGGCAGCCTTGGCG